GAGTGTGTGTGTGTGTGTGTGTGTTGTGTGTGTGTGAGCCTTCATTCTTCTTTGATAGCATCAATGAAATGGTATTATTATTAGAATTAGAAAAGATGATAAAAGAATGGGCTCCTTGCACAACCTAGTCTGTCACAACCCAAGAGGGCATTCGATGCATCGTACCAATTTTTGCGGCATCGATGCACCTACTATATGCATGTATATATGTATAAGCCGCATTAATTTTTTACATATAATATTCAATTAAATTTGCTCAACTGAATGAAATTCATTGATCAAGATAAGTAAAGCTTTAAAGTATTAATGACCTCAACTTCATCTTATTATATTTTAATGTTCCATGTTTATGTTTCTAAGAACTCTTTAAAGTCTATGAATTTTATAAATGCATGCCGCTACAACCAAATATTGATGTTTGAAAGGTCAATATGACCAAATATTATGTAAAAGAAATGAGAATTAAAAGTAGTTAGTGCTAATTATTTTCTACATGTTGAGACAGTTATGGAATCAAAGTTTTCTTAGAAATAATTAGAGCATATGGCACTTAATATTAGAAAATAGTTTTTGGGAGCTTATTCTGTGGATGAGAATGAATTCTCTCACATGTGCTTGTGTGTGTGCATCACATAACTTATTTTGTAGGCTATCAACATCGAAATGACTTAAACTGAGCCTTCGGAAGGAAACAGATCCTTTCAAACAAGAATCTATTCCATAAGCTAGGTAGTTTTGCAAGTGTAATCCCCCCACACTTCAAGAATCGTGAAAATATTACGTTTGGAGTCCACATGTAGCCCAGACATTAAGTGCAACATGGTTGTACTTTTGGTTTTTCTTCATTACAACCATGCTGTACTCTATGAATTTCGCATGGAAATATTTTTTCTTAAATATTTTTTTACTCAGTACAACATGGTTGTATTGAAGAAAAACCAAAAGTATAACCATGTTGTACTCCATGATCGGATCGGGTTTCAGACTTCTTCGCTTTTTAGACAAGGACACGTGCTTGTCAAATTTTAATTGGAGTTCATACGTTAGGACTCCAGACGTAATCTTATCTCTAAATAATCAAACAACCTCATAATAGCTAGAGAAAATATTATATAATGTGTAAATATGTGCAGACAACGGTGGATGTGAATACAACGTCACATTTAAGCGAAATTATGATAACCTGACATTCTTATCTACCGTTGTTTCACACATACTTGCAAAGTATGTAATAATAGCTGAGGATTGAAAATCCAATGAAAAAGAAAATTTCTTATGATTTAGGATGTGATCAGAAAATTAAGAGAAACTGAGTTAGTTATACTCATGTTAGTGAGAAAGCTTGATAGTCGGTGGATATAAAAAAGAAGAACAAAATTTAATTTAAACATATAGTAAATTAATATTTTTTGGAATGAATTTGAATGAACATTTTATGGCAAATATTTCTCTAGACAATTTAAGAAAAGAAATGGAGCAAAATTTATATGACTTGCCCATGAAAACATATCTAGTTAAGAGCATGAGGCAATTTTTGAGGAATTGTCATGATTCACTCCTCAAATGATCTAAAATAAGGAGAAAACAATGAAGTTTCAAATTTATTTGAGAGATGAAATCCTTGATCATATTGCAATTTGAACCAAACAAGTTGTAGATAACAATTTCATGTGAAAAGTCTTTTTTATTGAGGAGCATCAAGTGAGAAAGGTGGAACACCAATCGGAGAAGTGTCCCAATACTAACTAAGCTTTGGAAATAAGATAAAGTATGTTAATTTTCAACCAACAAACAATTCTCAAACAAAATTGTTGAGGAAAGCACAAGGTGGAGAATTGTTATATAAAAACTAAATCTTAGATGTTTCATTTGTAGGAGCACATCTCATTTTACTTTTTATTATTCAAGCATAAATAGAGCCAGCCAAGACGTATAACCCTCAAATTAAGCCTTAAGAATCTCATGCTAGGTTATTTGGTTTGTTGAGTGTGAAAGCCTCAAAACATTGATTACATCATGAAAATATGTGCTCTACAAAAGGTTCCTATAAAAAACTCTCATATAACATATCACTTTTAATATCTTCTTTAATTTAATAACATAAATTAACATGGGAGCAAAATCTCTTACAAACTAGCTAGCTCATTAAAAAAAAATTTTTTAATCATAATAAGTTCATGTCTTCAACAATACACAAATAATTTTATAATCACACGTAACTTTATTAATTGATATTTTCTTTAATATATTATTAACAAATAATTATCACCATCATGATATTTGGTTTGTTGAGTGTAAAAGCCTCAAAACATTAATTACATCATGAAAATAGGTGCTCTACAAAAAGTTTCTATAAAAATCTTTATGTAATATATCACTTTTATTATCTTCTTTAATTTAATTACACAAATTAAAAGGGAGCTAAATCTCTTGCTAACTAGCTAGCTCAATAAAAAAAAAATGTTAAATCATAATAAGTTCATGTCTTCAACAAAACACAAATAATTTTATAATATCACATGTAACTTTATTAATTGATATATTATTCAATATATTATTAACAAATAATTATCACAATCATGATATTTGGTCTGTTGAATGTGAAGCCTCAAAACATTAATTACATCATGAAAATAGGTGCTCTACAAAATCTTTCTTTAAAACTCTTTCATATAACATTTCACCTTTAATATCTTCTTTAATTTAATAACACAAATTAATATGGGAACAAAATCTCTTACAAACTAACTAGCTCAATAAAAAAAAAATGTTGAATCTATCCTCAACAATACACAAATAATTTTATAATATTTCATGTATCTTTATTAATTGATATTTTCATTAATATATTATAAACAAATATTTATCACAATCATTATAATTTAGAGTTTTCAATATTTAAAAGTCAAATAACAAAAAAAAAACAAAATTAATATATTTTATGTGAAAAATATAATTTGAATATGATTATATATA